TAAAACACCGCAATGTCGGTTTTGCCTTTCTTGCTGCTGGGCGATGGTGTAGGGCGAAAGGACATCAGCTTGGAGCTTGTGGATTGTGAAGCTTCCATTACTTGCTCAAGGATTACTTTGGGACCCAAGTTAAACAATTTGAAGCATGTCCGGAACTGCTGAGGATTGAACTTTGACATTTGTTGTTGCCACCAGTCCTAGCTCAGGCCGTCCTTTGCAAGATGTACTTTGACTGCACAGCACAGAGCAATTAAAGAGAGAAGCTATCCCTAGGTCCCATGAATGGTCAGGGCCATGGATCATAACGTGTTGAGGCCACCGCTGGCAAGCACCATCTGCCTGCTAGAGGCTCAAAGCAGAGTTGAATAGCCTAGCTGGAAAGGCAAATGAACCCGGCTACTTTCTCTTCGAGCTGTCTCAAGCCTTTCCTGGCACAGGCTGCTCTTCCTTTTTTTTTTGGAATCCCTTAACGCTCTTGTGAATGCTGCAGGTGGCTCATGTGGTGGAGGAGCACGAAAGGCTCGCTGTAGGACCCTCAGAATTTGCTTCCTCAGCTTGCCGCATGGGGCATGCTGCGACTTCTTGGTAAGGCCGAAAATCTTCGCCTAAAAGCGAACCGCGGCGACGGCAAGGCCTGCCGGCAACAGTTGCCCCAAGACATGTATGATTGTCTGCATTCGTGGCAAATCGAAACGCAAATGAACAGCAAGCAGGCATTGGTACTGCTTTTACTCATGGCAGAATATCATAACGCTGCAGCTTGCAGCAGCGCTCTGTGGACGTGTTTTTCAAAGTGCTGTTCAGAGCTTAACAGACGGTGGAACGCGACCCGTTTACGTCTGAAGAAGGATTGAGGGCAACAAAGCAGTGCAGCAAGTCCCGGCAGCTACAGGAAGGGCTAATGGAAAGCATCCGACGAAGTTGGGCCCTCTTCTTTCAACGAATATGGAGACAAACTCAGACTTGGGTTCTGGATACCTTGCCAACCTCACGCCGTGGCGTGAAATTTGAAAGCAAGATCAGCAGCCAGCACAGCGTAATGGTATCAGGGCCAAGGAGTCAAGAGCAGTGACAGCGCACCAGAAATTTGCACGCTTCACCGCTGAAGCGGAAGAAGGACAGTGGAGTGCGGCGTTTCAGCTGTTTGCTCGAAGTGCAGCTAGCGGACTTACCTTGTGTAGAGGACGTGCCAGACCTGATTTTGGATGCTAGCTGCGACGAGATCCTCCAGGACACTCTGCTCAATCTTGTTTCAACACACTGTCTCCCTTGTCAGCAGCTGGCAGTGCTGGCAGCCATGCCAGATCCGGCCCTTCAGGAAAGATGCGAGATCAAGAAGGCAAAGAAGGACTGGATGCGTTACGCTTTGTACGTGTGGCTGTCTACATACTTGGTGAGAATGCTATAGCAAGGGGCAGTCCCGGAATGCTGTTGATGCAGCAGCTTGCATGGTGCCACGGAATTCCCGGCTTACTGATCCAAATTTAGAAGGGGATAGCTTGCTCAAGAGCGCGAATGTAGCTCAGCATACCCTACACATTGTGGGGTTGGCCGAAACTTCTGCAACTCTCAGCTTCGCACAGTTTTTGCACAGCTGTGCAGGATGGAGCCAAAGTTCGCGTTCAGTCGAAGGCCACATGTGCTCCATGTGCTGTTGCGAAATATTGGTATCATGGGCTGTTCCTCTGGTGTCTGCCTGAGGACGCTCCTAAGCTTGAAGAAGGGTGTTACTCAGTCGTTCCCGAGCTTTCAGGTGTCTGCCTTGTGTGTTGAGATGCCATCCCCACTTGCCGGCATGGCGGTGCTCTCCTTCAGGAATTCTGGAGGTTTCCATTGAGGAGACAGAGACTCATCAGACGGAGGAGCAAAGCCTTTTGCCTGTGCTTTGCTCCCAATTATCTTTCTTGGCTCTGATCAGGCCGTCGAGGGTGGCAAGAAACCAATGGCGCAGGCCTCCTTTGTGAGAATGCAAGAAATCACCTGTAGCGATCCGACATCGGCGGCTTAGTATCCACCCCTAAGCATCTGGGAGTTACGACCATTTGCAAGATCCAGGCCGTGTTCAAAGACTCGGCAGACATGAAGCAGGTGGGAGCAATCAGGAGCGGAAGCATGGTGAGGCCTCTGAAGGTGAACAGGACATCTTTGATTTACAGCACCAGCAAGGCCGTCCGTGCTGAACTCATGAAGGATGGCAAGGGTCTTCGGCCTTGGACGGTCCCATCTTGCACAGTTACTTTGACATGATGTCAGAAGTGAGGCTATGATGTGAGGAACTTCTACAAGCAGACCGGTCTTGCCCAACGCATTGCCCGGAATCCGCTGCACCTTGGCTTAGGCTTTGCCCCATCTCCTGGGTTGAAAACGGGGTTTCTCCAACCTTAGGTTTGAAAATATAACCATGCTTGTCATCGGCCTGTATGCAATCTGGATGGCGATCGACACTGACCTCAACGACGCAGAGCCTTTGCTAAAGCCTCCATCTGTTTCTCGCATGTCCCCCCCCCCAACCGTTTTCTGATTCAGGATGTCATAACCGACGCCCCGCCGTTCTTCTTCGCCATGGAGCAGGTTTTCTGCGCCTACTTCTTCGTGGAGCTGGCATTTCCCTTACACCCATGCACAACAACGGTGCGCACCTGATGATGCTGCTGTGAATCAGGTCATTCGATTCATCGCGTTTGCAGAGAAGCGGAACTGCCTCAAGGATGCCTGGTTCTTGTTCGACCTTGCGCTGGTGATCATGATGGTCCTGGTGGGGGGCCCGGTCGACGGCAGATGTTCCCGGATCATGACTTCTCTTTCTTGCCGTGCTTCTTCTTCTCTCACTCACTGAAAGAAGCCACTGAAAGCATTCCATGGACAGAGTTTTCAGTTGCTTATGTGCTCCTCTCCTCCCTGGGCGCAATTGGATCTCTGCTTTCCCCATTTGTTGAAAGGACGGGGGCTGCATGGCCAAAGATGCTCAGGGCTGGTCCGGGAGTGCTGGTTCTGGGACCCTGCAGTGCAGACATGCTGACGGAGCTCATTTTTTATGTCGAAACTGTTCTGAGAATTGACAGTCTCGCCTCATTTTGGAAGATGCATGATTTAAGTTTATCTTTCAAGCCGCTGCATCTGCTGTCTTTTGACGTGTTCATCACATTCTTGCAATACTTTGATGGCTTCTGTTGGAAAATGGCGTTGAGAACTCTTGCTACCAAAAGCTTTTCAAGGCAACCACTGTGTAAGATGATAGAGTCTCGATACAGTTGGAACAGCCGAGCGTGTGGCAAGGTTGTGGGGGATTTGCGACAGTGACCCTTGAGCAGCTAGAAAAAATCCTGTGGCATTGTGATGGAGTAATAAGAATTGGCAGGAAGGGTGGCTGCGGAGCTCGTTATCGAAAAGTGACTATGACTCGCCTTTCGCGCACTCCTTGCAATATGAAGGGCTGTGCCGCGCTTTGCCGGGCTTGGCTGGTTGTTTTTTTGCGTGGCCGGCCGACAAATGTTGCTGTCCCTCGATTCTGCGTGATTTGCCTCAGATAGAGCGAAACCTACTGCCACTGCTCATATACTCGTAGTTTGGGCAGCATGACTGCTGCCATTGGCTGCTCTATGACTACACAAGCGGACCCTCACAAACATCAGATGGCTGAGGGTGCGTGTGTAGGTAGAGAAATACTGCCCGACGTAAACTTGAACTGCGGGCAAAAAAGCTGCACTGAGGAAAACTGGGTAATGACCCTGGTATTGCTGCTCACCGGATTGGGGGACACAGACGGCATCTCGGCGATCATTCGAGCTGATCGCATCCAATCGGCAATCTTCAGATTTTCAGGTTGCATGCAGCCAAAGATGGTGGCACCGACCGAGGTGTCCTGGGAAATGCCAACATCCTGCGGCTTGCAAGGCTCGTATCTTGGCATCGTGGCACAGCTATTTCGCTATGCATGTCCAAAACCGATTCGCAGGCTTATGCGGTTGACACGACTTCTCCGCATGGCTCGCTTGCTGCAGCTTGGCTTATCAGAGCTCGGGCGACAGTTGCGCCCAAGCAGCTGGTTCGAAGCTCGACAGCAATGTTGCGGCTCTGGTAGCTCTCCCAGCTTTGAGGCGAATGGTGCCAGAATTGCTGATACTGGTGAAGGTCGGCCGTGTGATGACCTATCAAGAAACTGAAGCACCATCACCACATACCTGATGCAGCATTGCGATGCGCGTAACAGGGGAAACTGTCCGCTCACTCTTCTGTGTCGTCTGTAGGCGATCGCTGCGGCAATGCGCTCGGTTGGCTTCACCCTGATTCTCCTGATCCTCATGCTGTATGCCCTCCTGCTTTGTTAGTCATGTTTTGCTTTCTGGATCCTAGAGGTGGAAGTACCCTTTCTCAACTAGATCCATTCTGATCTAGGCTCAGACGAACCAAGGTCTTTGGTATAGGGTTCACGCAGATTCTGAAGGGTGCTCCTCTCAGCCTTCACCGTGCAAGCATTCCGGCTGGCGCCTCACAAAATCACTTGTATGTAAATGTACGCATCAGGAACCCTTCTTCAGGACAGCTTTCCAGGCAGGATTGAATATCCCTGATCCAGAAGCAGTTTGCTTGGAAGTAGGAAAGCAGAACATCTTTGCAGAGCCTTGCTTTCTGTGTGAAGTCGCTTTGCTTCAGGAGTGTTGCTATCCATGCAGATGCTTTTCTTGCGCATCACATTGCTGGACAATATCTCTGACTTGCAGCACGGCTGCTGTTTGGTTTGGGGTTTGGCAAAGGCGTGCGCTTCTCCAAAGATGCTTCAGGTTCGTGGATTTCATGGACTCCGAACAGTGGGTTGCCTTTGTCCTCCTTTATTCGTTTTTGGACCCTTGGCAGCAAAGCAGCTGGAGCGCTTAAGGCCTCAGAGCCAGCAAGCCTTTGCCGCTTGGTCAGTCACTTTGGCATGCGCGATCAAAGTTTTCGACAGCCATGAAATACACCTGAAGAGTTGCTAGCTACAGCATCATTTAGGAGTAAGGAGAGGTGTTTGGAGGAAGGCTCTTGGCCCTGGGACCTTATGCTTCATTCCGCCGCTTGCTGAGATCATGTCAGCAATCACAGTCGCCAATATGCTCATCGGCGTCATCTGTGAGGCTAGACTTCGTGGCGCCTTGGATTCCTTGTTTTGGTGGTGCTGCCGTTGCCAGGTTATTACAGCAGTCGCGGCTGCTGAAAAAGAAGCCATTCAAATCACATTCGTGAAGGATACCCTGCTGCGGGTCATGGGACGAGCCTCGCTGGAAGTTTCGAATTGAGAAGCGCAGCCTTGAGGAAATCTGAACTGCACACACTAGCCAACCAAACGACTTAGCAAGTGATCCCATACACAAATTTGGGCATCTAACTATAAGTAAGCAGCAATCCACGCATGGAGCAGATCTGCGCTGGGCCTGTGCTGAACACGTCTGCAATTGCGGTGTGTGAGCATCATGTGTCAGCAAGTGAACAAGGTTCGGACGCAAACTTCGATGGCAGGTTACAGAAGAATGAGTTCTTCAAGATCGCTCGGGACAAGCAAGCCGTCAAGGCCTTGAAGGCCGCCTGGCAGAGTCTGCATGGACACGAAGAGGACGAACCCAGAAGCCGCTGAACTGAGGAGTTGGGAGTCGACATGTTGACTCTGATGCTTTGGCTGCCTTTGTCTGCATGGATGATGACCTCCTGGTCTTTGACATGTTGTGAGTATATTGAATGTTAACCAGCTGAGGATTGACTTTGCCGACATCATCTTTGAGAACGCTTCCGAATCCGAGGTGCGTCCTGGGCACAGCCAGCGGCTTTTCTGAGCTTGTGATCCATCACGCGTAGCTAAAGCGCGAGGAGAGCGAGGAGCTATCCTTTTCGGAGTTCATGGAGGCTTCCTAACGAAGTCGTTTTCGTGCCAAATCTGATCGGAGCTCTGCGGCAGAGGTTATTCTACAATTTCGTGGTTCGAACACCGCCACTGTCAAAGACATGGTGGATTTCAGGAAGTGGTTCACTGTACAGTGCCTTGCCTGGAGTACTGCACGCTGACCCTTCCCAGCCTGGATGGCAGCGCAAGGTATCGGCAGATGTTGAGGGAGGACATGGAAGCGATCCTATCCGGCAAGGCGCGAGCTCTTTCAGGAATTTGTCTCAAAAAGCGTTCGTCCTGGCAGGGATCGCCTCCTCTGAATCGCCGCCAGCAGCGCTTGAGATCAAGTTATAGGGCCGTGTTCAAGCCAGAATGTATCTACAATCTGAGGCTTGGCGGCTTGCGTCAGACAATCTTCAGCAGCAAGGCACACCGCTGGACTCCGAACGCCGGCGCATCAGTGGCTGGCTCAGTCTCTGGGCTCCTTGATGCTTGTGCTTTGCCAAGCTTCTCGACTTCTCGGCTGTCAGGAGCCTGACCACATCTCGGTTAATCTGTGAGATGTGGCCGCTTTAGCTGCGAAACTGCAATTCAGTCCTCCTCGAGGCCACTTCAGCGCCCGCTTTTCAGCTTCCGAACCTTGTGACTGCTTGCGAGTTGGCAATCTGGATCGCAGCGTCCAGGTTGGTCTGACAAAGTCAACCACCTTTTTGTAGACTTGCCACATTCCACAGGAAGTGGTATGAATGACTGGCTGTTCTGACCATCTTTGACTATTGTGAATTCTTCCATCTGACGAAACTAGCCACAAGCAGGTCTTCAGCACTCACCTACCTTAAGCGTTGGAACAGCCGGGCTCTTTTGCAGCAGCTTTTGGAGAGAAAAGCATGTGTCCGGGTGCCATCGGCAGGAGTGTCAGAAGAAGCAAGGCATCCCGTTGCTCGGTACAGCAGCAGTGAGAATTACGTGTTCTGGTAATCCTTGCAACAATATTGTGAGACCGGTGACTCGCAGCAACCCGTGCTTAAGATTTCCAGAGGATTCCAAAACCTAAAAGATCCGGCAGCTTAGAGCTTAAGGGATTGAAACGTCCGCGCACATTATCCGTCTCGATGTTGTTTGCTTGCGGCCTGCGTCATCGGCTTACTGCCAGTCCCTGCACCGACAGGAGAAACGGTAACCCCTTGATCTGCAAGGTGTGTAGGTGTTCCTTTCCCAACTTGAGGCGCTTAGGAGTTCAGAGTCGGGTTTGCGAAGTTAAGGGTGCTTTTGGCCCTGAAGGTTGCTCATCAATGCCCTGGCACGCGTAATGCATACTGTAGCAGAGGCAAAAAAACAGAAATAATTAGCTATACACGTTGGTGCTTGTGCGTCTAGGCGGCGGGGAGGCACAGCAGGCCGGGCGATGTGGAGCTTGTAGGACGCATGCCACCACTTGCATTCTACGTAGACTACACTATTCGCCAGTCACAACACGTTGACGCAATGCAACTGACCGAAAGGGAAAGGTTCCTCATTAGCTCAGAGAGACGGGCTTAAGCACAAAAGGCATAGCATCATTTCTGTACGCACATGGCTCCGTCAGGCAACGTTTTGTGCACCCTCCGCAATCAGCAACTCAGGGGTTCAGTGAGCTCCCAAAGCTCGCGGAGCCGAGGAGCGTGCTCCTTGACGCTTGCTCTCGTGTGGGAAATTGGGAGCCAGGTTGGAATTTTTGCGCGTGCCACGAGTCTTCTGACAGGGCTGTGCTTGTTGTGACAAACTGCCTGTCGGCTCAAGGTGCAATAAACAGATTCCTCGAGCAAGTACGTAATCAGAACATGGAACAGCTGCATGGCTTCATGCATTCAGCCGATCATGTTGGACTGTCATTCGTCTCTGACATCCCTCGGAGTACCCGCGTCGGCTAATTCAAAGTTCGTTAAGCGACCCCACAGCGCAGCCGTTTGCAAGCATGTACACAGACTTGCTGACCAAGTGGCGTGCCAAGGAGGCTGAGGAGGCAGAGGACATTGGTGATGTGTGCAGTTTCCTTCATATCAAGTTAAATAGTTGTTTGGCACCCCGGGGGTCATCTTGACATGACACGCTTACGCCCTTGGCTCTGCACGGCACCCGGAATCTGTACGGTGGCCGAGCCGATTGCCGCTACAGTGGGGATGGATGATCGCAGAGGGAAGTGTTTGATGGTGCAACAACAGGGACATTTGGGAGGCGGGTGGGTCCTGCAGGCCGAGGAACGTCCTGGCCCCTTAAACAGGAAAGACGCAGAAGAAGCAGAAGGTGTAAAATGGAGCAAAGAGGCAACAAGCAGCGTACAGGGGGGCCCATGACCGTAGGTCTAGAGCTGACCCTCGCCCCAAACCCCGGAGGCTGACATGATGAGTTGATGTGCATCATGCATTTGGCTGGATTCGTTTTGGGAGTGGGGTCCCGAAAGCAATCTGCTTGGCAGCGTATGTAAGACGTCTTGCATATAATTATATAATGTACCAGACCGGCTAATGCAGACGAACAGCGCTGTTTGACACTGCTCTGTTGACTAAGAGAAATCCTGATATTTTTTGCAGGGGAAGATGCTGCGACAAGCGTCCCCGACCGGCCATGGCAGGCAGCAGGGATCGCTATACTCAAGAGAGTCCGTGCTTTAGTCCGTGTTTTGCTGCTGTTAAAGGAGAAAGAAGGCTGAGTGGGTCCTGCCCAGTGGGCATGGGTTGGACCCGCGGCATGAAACCCTGCTCCGTGTGAGGCGGGCAGGATGTTCCTTACTTTGCTTTGGCTGTTGCAGTGTCGATGCCCCAAGATGTTTGAGTCAGATGAGTGAAGTGTGTAGCTCAGGGTGAAGCCGTCAGGCAGAAGTTGAATGCTGCAAAGCGTCAGCGTGACTACAGCTGGGATCAGCTGTTTGCCTACTGCGATCGCGATAAGTCTGGCACGTTAGAGACGCAGTTGCATGTGGCATCCTGTTGTGCTTGTCCGCTCGGCTGGTTGGAATATTCAGGACTGGAAGGAGTTCAAGCACATGGTGAGAAGGACACTGGGGGTTGCACACGAGACTGTCTGTGATGCTGACCTTCACATCCTCTTTGAGCAGGCTGAAAGGGAACACTGCTCAGCTGATTGACATGTGTTGCTGTGTCAGAATGTTCCAATATTGAATTGTGTTTCAGGTGGACTCTTCCGAGGCTGGCCAAGCGGGAGATAAGAATGATTTGGTGGATTTGGGAGAACTACTACACTACCTGGCACGCGGGCAGCTCAATGCTGCCGTGCTGGCAGCGAACCTTGGCAAATGCCCAATAACCGCTTTTCCATCGCTCTCAAGTACCGGTTGAATTTTTGAGTTTCCGCAGCTGTGCAGATGCCCAGGCGTGCGCAGCAGCGAATTCAGAGAGTGCGCAGGACAAGTTGGCACCTTAAATCCTGTCTGCAAGCTGTCTTGAACTTACTGGCAGGAACATCCAGCTGGCCTTTGTGAAGCTGGTGCCATGGTATTCGTAAGATCCTTCTGCCACCAGCCTCAGTTCCAGTCGACATCGCAGGATTTGACGGAGGCTGACACGAAGCAACTCTTCCAGAGAATAGACTTGGATAGTTACTTGGCTGATACAGGGAAGGTCGCAGTGTGCAAAAGTTTTGTTGATGGAACTTCTTTCAGATGTGCCTTTTGTGCATCCACATCTCGGAAAGCCTCCGCAGCAAGGGGCTCCTGGGGCGATAAAGCACACACCGATAGGCAGATCAAGAGAAGCCTCACAACGCAGAAGCGCCAAGGCTCCAATCGCCTGTCTGAGTATGAGTTTGAAGTCTTCGTACGAGAGCGTCTGATGCTCAGCCACTGGGACATCATGCCCTCGGATTTGCATGACTTTTACCACTTCCTGGATCGGGATGGTGATGGCATCGACATCTTCGAGTTTTTGGATTACGTGAAAAAGGTCAACAGGCTCTTGCTGTTGCTGACTGTGCCGTGAAGGGCAAGCTCCCGAAAGTTTCAGGCTGTTGGACATCTTGTCAGGCTGAAGGATTCCGTGGGAGCCAGGAACATGATGATTGCTGAGAGCGGCGAGAAAGCTCCTCGTAGGCGTCAGCTCACCTACAAGGCCAACATCCAGCTGTGCAACTGCTGTGCATGCAGGGCATTACCCTTGGCACAGTCAGAATGTTTTTTGCATCCGCAAATATCCGAATGAAGAACAGGACAAGTTGCTTCAAGAGCTCGAGGACCGAAGACATGCCAGGACCCGCGGGAGCTGCCTCCTGTGCCTATGCTCCTTCCGTTTCCGAGAGGCTGAAGGACATTAAGGGACTGAAGTCAAACTGACTTGAAGGAGCTTACCAGACCTGCGCTTGACGACATCGTTCGCTAGCACTGGCCGTGAGAAGCGGCCGAGAAATCGATTTGCTGCAAGTGGGGTGATTTTCGCATGACATTCTTGCAGGATAATTCCAGGATAAAGTTGTGCTACACAACCATGCTCTTTGACGGCAGCACCCTGCAATCAAATACACTTCTGCATCCCTGCAAAATGCATGTGATCGGAGATGTGTACGCTCAGTGTCACCTGGATGCGACAGGGCGTGATGCCCTGCACAGACGGCAAAGCGCAAAAAAACACAGAGTGAGGAGTGAAGCCAGGCGGAAGACCTGTTCTGTGCGAGCTGCAGTCAGCTGGCTTGGCCAAACCAGGCTATGTTTTTTCTATGTTGCGATGGATGCCGATTTGGGAAGGCATTGTCCCAAGTTGAGACAAGTCGTAGCCCAGCAGTGCCACAGTTCCCTACCGCGAAGTATCCCTGCCGTGCCCAACCGCAGAACACCCAGGCGGTACCCAGTCGCAGCATCCCTGCAATGCCTTACCGTAGAGTATGCCAGCAGTGCCCATAGTAATTGTCCCTGCTGTGTCCAACCCACAAGATCTGTACTCAGGGGGTGTGGGGAAGCCCCGAAAATTATCAAATTTGGCCGCGTTTCGCGGGCCAGAGAGCGTGGCAAAAGAGTTTTTGGGGGGTGCTGGTGGGCCTCGAAAATAGGCATGACGAGGGGTCTGTTGTGATGCGGTTTGGGGGTGCCGTTTCGGGGGGCGTGGAGGCTGTATGGGACGTCAGACGGCAGCTTTTTAGGCTTAACAGCCGTTCTTGGGCACGGTTGAGGCCCTTCTCGCGCCGCCGCTTCATGAAAAAATGCACACGCCAGTTTGCACTCTGCTTCTAAGATCTCGTCCTTGCGCCCCTGTGGGCGCAAGTGAGGTAGATTGCATTCCTACCTCCTACATGTGACTTGTCCGTGCAATCTCTGCTATCTTCAGCCCACGTGGCAAAGCTCGCATCAATTAGCTGTTCAACAAAAAAGTATGAACGCACACGCTATCAGCCCAGGGGGCGACCGAGTAGATCACCTCCATTGCAAGCAAAACCTGAAAATTAAGAGTCGGGAGGTTGCTAATATCTGAATGTCTATTTCTGCTTATGGCTACATACCTATGTGCAGAAGTGCTAAGCTCGCCACCGGCCGTTGTTTCGCGCAGCCGGAGAATGCGGAAATTTCATTCAAAAAGTCAAAAAGCTCTACTTTTTGCAAAGTGTCGCTTTTCGCAACAAAGTTAACTTTCCGATTTTTCGGGCAAAAAGTCAAAACATCTTACTTTTCGCAACAAGTTGTACTTTTCGACTTTTCGGGCAACTTCGCAAAAAGTTCACTTTTCGACTTCCTGCTCTTTTCGCAAGAAATACTTTTCGCAAACAGTTTTACCTTTCGACTTTTCGGGCAATTTTCACAAAACGTTCACTTTTTGACTTTTCGGTCACTTTTCGCAATAAGCTTTACTTTTCGCAAGAAAGAATCGCAATTTTTGACTTTGGGGCGATTTTTGCACAAAGTTAACTGTTCGACTTTTCGCGCACTTTTCACGCAAGGTTTTACTTTTTGCAAGCAGTTGTGCTCTTCGACTTTTCGGGCAATGTTTGCAAAAAGTTCACTTTACGACTTTCCGGGCACTTTCCACAAAGAGTTGCACTTTTCGCAAACAAATGCGCGTTTCGACTTTCCGGCACTTTTGCGCAAGAAGTTCACTTTGCGCACAAAAGTATGCCATACGGTCAAAGTCATGAAGAGGAACGACAACTTCTATTTCTACGTATTTTCCATTACTGCTGCAAGCACTACTCTTGTTTAATTTCATGGCTACTACATGCTACCACCACCACCACCACCGCC